GTTTTTATAAATAAGGGGGATAATGATTTTCTTTTAATTTGGCAGAGTATCAAATTATGCACCTTATTTCAAGTTTATATTTAGAACTAAAACGTTTGAAACTTCTTCTATAGTGTAAACAAAAGTTCGCTTTCAGCGTTCACAACACGCGAATATCAAAAACTAGAATTTTGGAACATTATGCTCAAGAATGCCTAGAATTTGCACAAAAAAAGCAGAACAACGAAATAATGCTCAGCGACAGCAGCGATAACAGTGAAATTACTCACAGCAAAGCTAGAGTGGGGATAGAATGAGTATTTGTTTGGTCTAAACCCACCACTAAGATTTTAAAACCACTTTCCAGCCACAATATAATGAAATCTCAAACCGTTTATATTCTGCGATTTTTGTATCCCTATTATCCTTTAATTAAACCCAAGTTGACAATCGAGACCTTTATTATCTCTTATCTCCGTAGAGTCTGGAATGCAGCTGAAAATAATAACGGAAAACAGTCGATACGTAGACAAAGCTGCCGCATTATCGGATTCCCTCCTTTTAACTTATACCCGCCTGGTACCTCAAACGAGGTAGGGCTGTGTACTAGTACTTAGGTATGAATTTTATAAAGAAACTTCTTTTTTTTTTCTCTCCACAGATTCTTAAAAATAGGCTTAAAAGTTTCGCACATTTGTCTGTGGGAGACTGGTATCTAAACTAGGCAGTAGCCTGCCTGTATCTTGGAGCACCAGGTAACCCATGATACATAATTAGGTAAGTATGTACATTTTACAATTTGTAATTATTAATTTAGAGATGTTGTGGAGATTTATCTAATTATTCTCTGACCAGTGCTATGTAGGAAAGGACATTGTCAGAAANCGCTAGTTAGATATAAAAACCTGGGTCTACCTTTCGTACAATATGCGTATAATAATTATAATAAAATGTTAGTGACTCTCCTATTATCTGCTTAAAAATATATTTGCAAAGCTTTGTCTAAAGTACGAGTAAGTAATTTGGTCTGAACGTAAGCTGAATATTAATCTGTTTTCGTACCTATAAATAGATAGTTGTTACGAATTAAAAAGTAATGTGAGAGCTGAAACCTCTTCAATTATATTATCTAGTCTAGGTTAACTATATTGGGAATAAGGGACTAAAATAAAGAAAAAACTTGTAGAATCACAACAGACCAGTGTGCCTACCATGAGTTTACGTTAGGTGTGCTCGCTAGCGACTGCGTATAAAAATGACATTAATTATATGACATATTGTGCAGCGCCCCTAGCGGCTACTTTCAAGAAACAAAATCTTCATAGAGATTTTTGACGTACTCGCTAGCGAGCACACCTAACGTAAACTCATGGTAGGTACACAGAAAGATAACCCATGAATGTCATTTTCAAAAGTGTCATCTAAAACAATATACTCGTAACACCCGAATTCACAAACGATGCTTGCTTATGTGAATCACCAAATCCAACGCTCAGCGTTGAATAGAGCTCTATGATTGAATCATGTGTGACCCTATAATATTTATGTAGGTACACGCGCGCTGTGAGTACCTAATGTTTCTGAATACGGGCGTAATTAATGAACATCAGGAACTCTTTAAAAACGAGCACCACGTCCATTGTCAACATCAATATTTTTTCAGCTCTTTTTCTTCGCAGGTCCGAGCCCGAATTTTTCAAAGGCCGAATTTCGGTGGTCCTCAAATTTCGCGCGCAATTAAAAAGTTGTCCGTATAATATTAGTATGGATTATCCCGTCTCTCCGCGGATCGTAAGCAATACGCCATTTTCACGGAACCTTTGCGCAACTCAAAGCAAACGAGTGAACTTTCAGAAAGTAATTAGAACAAAACTAATTTTCGGGACTTCGCCGCTTGTCGTCCCAACAAAGAGCTCTAATGTTTGCGAGTAGAACTCCGTTCGATGATAATTAAGAGTAGTACTCTTAAGTTCGAGAAGTCACCTATAAATTACCTAAGGGCTCGTTGAAATTCCAAACTTTTTGATTTCCATGTGTCATTAGTAAGTCGGCACTTCACCAATTCCACTGGTTTTCTCAGAAACAGATTCAGACTCAGTATTCGAGAGTGGAGGCAAAACTTTTTGGTGTGTGTAAGATACTAAAGATATGCCAAATTAATTAGAACAGACTAATTACTTTTGTATGCTACTTAAAATTATTTTTATGTACATTATGTATAAAACTTATTAAAAGGGTTACGCCCTAGTTGAACACTGTTTTAAAATAACGTTTAGTATGGAAATGACACTTTAAAACGGTATTTAACTAGGGTGTAAAATTTTATTAATAAGGGGGTATTAAGGTGAAAGTGAAGTAAAAATACTTTCTTAAGAAAAATAATTTTGTTGTTTATAAAATATCTACAGCTATAGTCACAATTCTAAAAATTAACGTAACTAATTGTGACGTACCAGCAGTTTCTTAGAAACTTTGATTATGTTAGTCATACGCACATCTAGGCAGATATCTCTATACTCTAATACTAGCGGCCGCCCGCGACTTCGTACGCGTGGACCTCGTTTTACTCCATTAGGGGTGGAGTTTCTTAAAATCCGCTCTTAGCATCTATAGCGCATACATTTTTCAACTCTCTTACTTAAAACACATAGGACTTTCATAATATAAACTTCCAACAAGGATTTAGGGCGCTATTTGGATCAAATATGTAATTGCTCAATAATGAATAATAAATAAATAAATAAATAAATAAAAATAAAACCCTCCTTTTATCTCCTTAGCCCCCGTAGTTGATTTCTAATGATACATTTTCAGTATATGTAAATCGGCAAACCGATGTGTACACAGTACCACAGTGTACCGAACAGTATATTATTATGTACACCTCCACAATATCTAGAGATCATAGTGAGCATACATTTTAACTTGAAAGTTAAAGTCTCTTACTTTAAAAACCGAGGACTGCAATACAAACTTCTGACCCCCTTTTTAACTCCCATAAGGGTTGAATTTTGCAAAATTTCGTTTTAGTGACTACCTACGTTCTAAAAGGAGGTGTATTCCACTTTGATCACGTGGCTTTGATCAGCCAGGTGATCAAAGTGGACTTACAGCGACAATTTAGTGTCCTTTGAATATATTCTGTGCCTTTGAGCACCCACGGATACGATGTCCTGGGTGAGCCAAGTGGACTCTAGTTAAATTATTATTTTAGTGTCCTTTGATCATCTACAAACAAATCACACCTCCTCTGAATAGTCACATGTCCAATTGTTGTACTACATTTCAAATCTTTCATCTAGTTGATAGTGAACGGCTGCAGTTTATTGCACTCACAGAGGCATCGCTAAGTTCATTATATTGTATTTTTACTCGGCCTGCATCCAACGCCTTCCCGCTACCTTCATCAGGTCGTCGGACCACCTTGTGGATGGATGTCCTACCTAACGCTGCGTTTTCCGGTACGTGGTGTCTGCTCCATAACCTTGCTGCCCCATCGGCCGTCAGTTCTGCGTACTATGTGCTTCCAACCGCGCGATGTGGAAGTCATTGGGGGAGGCCTATGTTCAGCAGTGGACGTCCTGTGACTGAAATGATGATGATGTATTTTTTCTCTCTATCTATAGATAGTATACCAACCTATATCTGTATTTTGTCAATGTGAATCAAATCCTGCCGTATCTTAATCCAATCTTTTTCTAATGAGTTACTTATCTTTCCATCCTTACTAGTTTTTTATCAGCCAATGTTTTTGTTTTGAAACAAATAAATACTTTCTATTCTATTTCCATTAGAATCTTAGCCATGACTGTAAATTAATTTAAAAAAATTATAATTAACGCTAAGCTCCAGGCTCCAGCCAAGGGAATCAAAAAGTTTGATCAGATGTATCAGATAAAATGTTACGTTTCATGGTTGGTTTTGCAATTTGTGGTATATTCACATTGAATTGAAATCTGTGCTCAAATTCCATTCAATACCCAATACTTGGACTGTTTCATCAAGGTTCATAAAACTACTTTAGCACTAGCTGATATTTTGTTGTCTTCTATTGACTTCATAAACTCAACGCAGAACTAGGTAGCAAAAGGTATTTGACCGCAATTGCATGTGATGTTAAGTGAGATGCAGTATAAGATGATAGATATCTACCTGTAAGTGCCTATAAGGTCCGGTATAGTGCTCAGGAGAGACAGCAGCAGGCAGCGACCGGTTCGCATTATAAAAGAGTTTATCGAAACGCTTAGTGCAAGCTGGTGGAATGTCGACAATGTAGGAATGATACGTTAACCAGCGTCTGATGATGGAAGGGGGCTGGTGGAATTAGGTCGTGTAATTCCTTCGCACATTCTCTGAAGTGTAACCTGGTGGATGGTCACATCAGATGTATTATTATCTGCTCTGTAAGTTCTCATTAAATTATAGCATTATAGCTTCAATTGACCAGTCCACTCTTGATAAAAGGTCGTTGATATAAAAATATTGTTTTATTATTTTATAGAAATCGGTACTCCGGTAATCCGAATAATTTTTTGTCACATAAATCTGAAGATCATCTTCATAATGTCATCTATGAAGCAAACACGTTTCATCTCATTATAATATTTCTCGGGTTTTCTTGCAGCTGGGAACCTACAAGCAGTTCGTTATTCAGTGAAATATAAATCGAACCTTAACACAAAGCATCAAATATAATCGTGCGCGAGTTGTCTCCGTATTATTCCAGACGACCGCATGATGAGGTAAGTATACTGTCAGTCTTGTTTCTTTTTCTTTTTAAACAAACAAACAAACAAACAAAGTTTTCCTCTTTATAATATTAGTGTAGATATATATAATCTATCTCTTAGGCTGGGTTGCACCATCTTACTTTAACTTTGACAAACGTCAAAAATCTGTCAAACTCCATACAAAAAGCACTGGTTATCGTTATAGCTACGGTCAAAGTTAGGTGGTGCAACTCAGCCTTACTGTAGCTCTTTGACAGCCAAATCACCTAAATGGAGCGCAAAGACACAAATCATCGAATCATTTATTCAGATTTCGTAAGGCGTTTTAGCTGCAATGTACTCCTTGACTCCAGGTAAGGACTGAATCTTCATAACCAGGGCCGCAATGTTAGGGTAGTCTTTCTCAATGGTTTCTTCAAGGAACAAGTTGGCTTTTTCAATGGCAGCAACTAGCATGAAGTCTGCCCAGGTCAACTGCAATTAAAACATTTAGTAAGCGCGACAAAAATTGCACTAGCAAAACCCTGCAATGAATTTCTTAACCACATCACGCTACAGCACCACAAAGTGAGTTTTAAAACCATGTTCTAAGCTTTTCTTCTTCTTTTTCTGATTCATCTCAAGACTTAGTAAACATACATAATAATAAGGTATATTCATCTTCGGTGTCATTCCAAAATTCAGGCCTTTCACAGAACATTAAAACAATCTAGCAGCTGTACGCCTGAATTTAAATTGCAAATCATACCTAAATAATTTCATATCAGAAATAAGTTACGAGAAAATGTTGTTCGTAGAAAGACATTGGCTTTGAAATTCAATTCTGACAAACTTCTAACGGAACTAAACTTTAACTTCCATAAATAATAAATGAAATCTCCGTCAACAGTACCTAATTCAGTTCTAAAATCGTGTTTAACATCAATATTAAATATTGTTTACTTTTACTATTTCAATCGAATTACCTTTCCAACAAAGTGTCCATTGTTAGATTTCAAGTCCTCTTCAAATCTTTTAAAGTAGAATGGGACTACATTGGTAATGATTTCTTTCTTGACAGCTGCTTTCTTATCCGCATCAGGGTCATTCGCAATGAAAACAATTGCTGAAAGTAAAATAGTAACATGATAAATAAAATGTCTGTTAGAGTAGGCACACATCGTTGATTTTTAGTTGGCCGATAGTTGTGCCCGATTTCAAATTGTAAGTATGAAGAATCGGCCAAATCGAAGCAGCGTAGTAGTATGCGCACTCCCATACATGCCCATACTGATCAACTGCCCGACTAAACTATCGGCTGACGAAAAATCAACGGTGTGCGCCTACTCTTAAACCGCCTACCTAAAGAAAACGTAATAACTTTTAAAGCGCCTACCTAAAGAAAACGTAATAACTTTTAAACTAAGCGGTTTATCCTGATAAAATAAAAAAACAGTAATAATGCTAAATAACAGGCGATCCTAAAAAAATACATATTATACTCCCATTACAACATACCCTTTGTTTTGTTCCAGAAATCAGAGATGTTGAAGACGATGGCATCCAAGACAGCCTGTTGCCAAAGGTCTGAAGGCAGAAGGTCAGCCTTCCTGGCGAGGTAGCGGGCGATGGCTAACGATTGGTTCAAGCTCTTATCCCCTTCTTCATAAAGAGGGAGCTGTCCGTAAGGCAAAGCTGGGGAAGAGACGTATTTTAACATTTTTAACAGCTAAATATTAAACTCTCCCCCAGTAATTTTGATAACAGTCTATACGCTGCCAGCATCTAGCTACGAGACTATTCCCACCTCTCGTTCCCACCGCTGCAACTCCTGTGTAGCCAGAATCTCTAGCTTGACCGCCAATAAAAACCCAACCAGTGAAGGTCAAGTTTGCCTACTTTCATCACATTATTTCAGCATATTTAAGTAAGGTTATTTGTCAATTAGTTACAGAGTCACAATATTTTTATATTACTTTGTCACAATACTAAAAATAATAGGAAAAATCATGTTCTACTTACATTCTTTAACACTCTTAATTGGCCACTGAGATTTTTCATATCTGACGTCTTCAAACTTCTCCCCACCATAGTGAAGAATGTACCTGATGGCTTCTGCAAAACCATTGACGTTAAAATAATGCAATCTTTTCGCCATCACGCTTAAATTCCTCAAGTGTCTGTTATGTTGTGTTGTGACGCACAACTTTTATACTCACGGTTTAGTAGTCAGTAAATAAAAATATAAGTGTCTCTCACTTCTTCAGTTTAGCATTCGCTATGCACGGTTAATTTATGTATAGGTATACTAATTATTTCTAATTATGGATTCATGACAAAAACGTGTCAAAACTATTAAGTATGAAGTATTCATCAAGGCCTTAACATATTTTGTAATAGTATGTCAAAGCAAAATGTCATATTGTTTCAACTACCTACCTAATCATACCTATTAAAGATACATATACATTTCCCCAAGCTGATACTATTGTAATATTTGACCCCATTGAAACTCGAACCTGCTACCGCTGCTGGTATTGAAGTCAACTACGTGAACCGCGTAGAACCACTAATCACATAGTGTGTGGTTTTTTCATTCACGAATGAAATAACTGAATGATCATCAACATTGTCATCATCAGTAAGTAATTTAAGAGTCGGCCGTTTGGTGTAGTGGTTCGAAACGTACTACTATTCCGGAGGTTGCGGGTTCGATTCCCGCACAGTACAAACATTTGTGTGCATGAACATATCTGTTTGTATTGGACTGGGTGTTTTCTATGTATAATATGTATGTATTTACAAAAAAAAGTATTTAAGTATGTTTATATCCGTTGTCTAGTACCCATAGTACAAGCTTTGCTTAGTTTGGGACTAGAAGCGCAGTGTAAAATGTCCAAGGATATATATATATTTATTCTCAACTGCAGGAAGACGATCCTTTTTTACGCTTTTTTTATCTCTTGACTACATAATTCACAATTTCGCATGGAGTTGTACCTAGATGGCACTTACGAATGACGCATCATGTCGGTATTTCATGCTAACCACAGAGGCATCCTGTGTCATCTTAATTGGCACACAATAGTGTAATAATGCTACAAAGATGTACCATCGGCAACAGTGTTAACTATCCATTGCCTGTCATGTCGTCTTGTTCTATCGCAAAGAATCACCATTTGATGAGAGCGAGAGCAAAAACGGAAATGGATAGTTAACAGTGTGGCCGTGTGTACCTATCTATCTTCAAATGTGCCGGCAACTGTATAAATTCATTTTGAGCGAATTACTATTTTAAAATAGTTCAACTGATATTGACTCATAGATTTCTGCGAATGAATAATTCCATAAACATCGAAATCCACTTTACTCGTAGCTCAAGAAAAGCTTAAAGAAAATGAAACTCTCAAAATATAGCGCCATAGTCAACTTATAATATTGTAGTTTAATATTTATTGTACAAACATACTTTTATGAGTTGTTATGACGCAATTTTTACGTCAATTTTATATTATTTTATTGGTTTCACAACAATATAAAAATCTTAACTGTTAGTTGTATATTTAATAGGTTTTACAATATTCTTTAGGAGAGTTAAATTGGAATATTGATATGTAAAATAAAGTAAAACGCAAAGTTATATAAACTTTTTAATCAGACAGTGTATGGCTTTCTGGTCGCGATATATTCCTTAACTCCTGGCAGGGAGCGGATCTTCTTAAGCAAAGCCACGACGGTGGGGTAGTCCTGCTCAATGGTTGCGTCGATGAACAGGTTGGCGGTCTCGATGATGCCGATGAAGATGAATTCAGCCCAAGTCAGCTGTAACGAGAAAAAAACAATAAAACGTTTGCAAAAAGGTAAAGTATTCCCCTGCAGAGCATCTTAACTTCGAACTCCTCCTACAAGTATAATGTTCTTCTGATTAATTTCGTTGCGGGTCAAATGAGAATTTTACTTTCCCCCAGGACAAAGTTGACCTTCAATAAGTAGTTGGCTTTTTATTGTCGGTCTAGCTGCAGATCCTAGCTACACAGGAATTGCACGAGAAGAACGATAAGTGGGAATAATCCCGTTTTGCAAAACATAGGTTATCATCCCAATATTAGGTTGATGTGTGTCTAGAAAAATATCATGCGAAACTCTTGTTACTAGGTGAGTTGGCAAAAACATTTCTGGCAATATCTATACAGTGTGAGTCACGATATATGAAAAAAAGTGAAACTAGACCTATTTTTATCGACAAATTTTTAAGTTTATTTTTTATTTTTTATAGAATTTTTTTTCTTCCGACTACTTATTGTAAAGAAAACGTAATAACTTTTAAACTAAGAGGTAGGGGAACCTGTTGAACCTTGGACAGAGTTGTACCTAAAACAATTGTATATATTTTTTAAATTATGCGGTTTTATGAAAAGTTGTCTAGGGTATTACATACGTTATTTGTCAACATTAACGTGAAGTTAGCTAAGATTCGCCAACGCCGTGCAAGTACAAGAAAAAATGGTAATTTAATATTTTACACTGACGCAGTGAGATTTTGGAGGTTTACTTCATGTCAATTTATGAAAAATGTTGCATGTTTGACAAAACGGTTATAGTTAGAACATAATCTTTATATATCTAGCTACTGGACGACATGAGTTTCAGATCATAAGCTCAAATGGAAGTGGGTTTATTATGCTTATTAAGTGAAGTAGGCGTAATGTTGTACCTTGANTAGCCAGATCTTACAATAATTGTTTTTAAGCCACAAATATTCCTTAACTCTTTACTAATTAATTCAATAACATATTGTTTAAATGAGTTCCGAATAAATTAAATACCTATTAAATAAGTAAAATTCGAAAGCAACTGTATGATTTTGTATTTCTCGCCCTAACTAGCTAAACTAATATCATGAGATTTACACTCATAATATCAACAATAATTGTAGAAAGGGCTACTTTTTTCTCGGGAAATTGCATAGTTACTTTGGAATGTGCGATAGCAATTTTGTGACCCGAGCGGGCAATCGCTAGTTCAAATTTTACACGAAGCCTCATATAATATTTTGTAGCGATTTTTATTGGGTTTCAAATTGATTAAAATGCGACGTTGCCAAACGAGCGCTACGGATGCGGGTAATAAGCAATACTCAATCCTAATTGCTTTACATAGAGCTTGGTTTGCTAAGGCAAACATCTACAGTGGTGCGCCGACGCTGCTTAGACCCGAAACATGAATGAACGGGGGCGGAGCAATATCGAGCGTGTGTGTGCAAACAATTTAGGCCCTTAAGGTGTCAAGGCGTTCGAGTCCCCGATAGTACCTATTTATCCTGATAAAATAAAAACAGTAATAATGCTAAATAACAGGCAATACTAAAAATATACATAAAATACTCAGAAAATGCCAACAAATAATAAAAAATTATATCTACATTTTGAGAAAAATCTGCATTTTATTTCGTGTTTTTTTGGTTATTTGATTTTCTCCAAATAATGCCCCTATAACAGGTGGTTTTTATTACTTTGTATTATTTTTTATCGTATTACGTTTGTAAAACCAAAAATCGCATGTCTCTATCCCTATCACAACGTTTGCAATGATCGTTTGAACAAAGGCCTGCCACCACATCGAAAGTTATAAATCTAATATTACCTTTCCACCAAAATATCCGTTTCCTGCCTTCAGCTCTTTCTCGAATCTTGAGAAGTAGTACGGAACTATTTCGGTGAGGATTTCCTTTTTGATGGCTGCTTTCTTCTCGGGATCTTTCTCAAAAATGATTTCTAAACAAAAAACAATAATAAATGAAAACCATATAATTAAAATTTAATGCTTTTGGAAATTCTCTTCTGAATTCAATCTATAAGATTTTTTTATAAAAGAAGGAAACGTGTGGTCTTCAAGACATTAGAAAACACTGTAAGAAGAATTAAAGCGCACACTCTCCGAAGAAGATCATAAAAACTTCAACATTTTGGCACTTGTAAGAAAAGGATATAAGGTACAATGTCAAGAAATTACTTTTACCACTGCTCCAAAATACTGTAGCATCCAAGACGGCCTGTTGCCAGGCGTCTGAGGGCAGGAGTTTGGCCTTGCTGGCGAGGTACCGGGCGATGGCCAGAGACTGGTTCAGACTCTTGTTAATAAGGGAATAAAGTACAACAATAGTTACTTTTACAATTGCTCCAGAAGTCGTAGATGTTGAAAACTGTAGCATCCAAGACAGCCTGCTGCCAGGCGTCTGCGGGCAGGAGATTGGCCTTGCTGGCGAGGTACCGGGCGATGGCCAGAGACTGGTTCAGACTCTTGTTGCCTTCTTCGTAGAGAGGGAGCTGGCCGTAGGGCAGGGCTGATGAAGAAAAAGTCAAATTAGATACGATATTTTATAATGCAGTCGTAGCTGATGAAAAAATAATCAAATTACTCGCGATCTATGTAATTTTTTTAAATAATCTTAACACTTGTGTAGTCATAACTCTTAAACTAGGCTCAAAAAGTATCTTTTCCTTCAGTCTCAAATAAATATCACTTAGATAATCGTGATTTTCACTACTGTTACTTTTGACTACTGTTTTACTTGCTTTTAACCGATTAAAGGCTTTAGTCTCTGTTTTATTGGGAAGCCAATCCTGACTACACCGGAGTAGTAAGAGTATTGTACAAAAACTCATATTAATTTTTATCATATCAAAATCATGATCATGTTTTATCGGAAGATGTGCATTGATTTCAAATTATAATCACGACTTGAATTCTGACGAGCGGTAAACATAGCCAGTTCCTCCGTGGTTGAGGATTCCGAGTGAAGCTCGCTTCCACCTTCGGCCTGATCATCACTTACCTACCATCAGGAGAGATCCCTCGTTGTGGATAGAAAAAAAATTAATACTAAAGAAGAAGATAATTTGAATATTATCATACTAAAGATTAATTTTGATTTACCTACTCATTTCACTTCTACGATTTTCATATTAATTTGAGCAGGCATAACATGCCATTGCAAAACCTTTATCAGTGTTTATATTTGAATAACATAACAGTGATAAAAAATGTTGTGGTATACGTGTACTGGACCTGTTTCGACCAACCAGATTAGCATAATACCGTACCACTTATGACCTTGGACTTGGAATAATTATCTCAGAGATATCCATAGTACGTTTACAATTTTGTGTATTGTTATTACTATTGTTTGTTGGAATGTACCTAAATTTTCACCGTTTTGTCACTTATTTCTTTGTTAGAATATAAAACTGTACCTTTATTTCAATAAGCATTTTTTCCCCAAATAAATTTTACTTGTGGTAATCAAGATAAATTGAGAAGNTTGAGAACAAGTTTACTTTTATTGCAAAGCAAATTATTGCAATGAAAGTACCTTCTTCATCGTAAGCGTGGATGTCACTAAATTCTAATAATCACTCAGGCTTAACAAAATGCTTTGAACAAATAATTTTCTATGTCGTCTCGTAACTATTCAAGTAAAGATGCACTGAAAAATTTGTTTTCGTACTTACAGTCTTTTACTTCCTTAATCGGCCATTTAGAATAATCGTATCTGATATCTTCAAACTTCTCTCCAGCGTAGTGGAGGATGTACCTGATGGACTCGCCAAGTCCATTGAGGTGGAAATAGTGCAGTTTCTTTGCCATCTCGCTCTGACTCCTCAACGCAAGTGTCGATATTTTTGTCTGGCATTACTTATATAGACTCAGCAAGTAGATACTTAACCCGTTACGGTTAGATGGATAAAAATAAACATATTGTGTCCGATAAGAATTAGTAATTTCAGTCATCATAACAATAAAATATTTTATTGTCATCATGCGCTAGGTTATAAGAAGAACTATTAACTATTTCTAAAAATAATCGAATGTTTTCTCTTCTCTACTTTTGAAAATTCGATAGTAGCCCTTAAAGTACCAGCAAATCGACACACAATAGAAATCGATTGTTACCGCGATCCTGATCACGCTGTTGACAAGGGAGTCGTGGACGATAAACCCGACACCACCTTGGAACATCTGGGCGCCCTCCCGGAAAAAGAGTAAGTTTCCGAAGATAAGGATCAAGGTGTCTTCCTCTCTCCAGACTTAACAAAATCCTATGATATCCCACCTTTGCAGTCAGCCTGCACAATCCTTTATTCTAGTTCAGATAGCTTCACGTCAGTCCGTACTTCCACAGTTTTATAGGTTGCCTGGGCCAGTGGTATCAGGGTTTGTAGCCTGCTATCGTAACCGGAGATCATGAGCATCCCCTGCCCCACCGTTAGCGTGACCGCTATAGTGAGTCCGCTGGGGACTTGAGGCATGGTAAAAAAAAAGTTCGTACTTACAGTCTTTTACACTTTTGATCGGCCACTCAGATCCGTCGTATCTGATATCTTCGAACTTCTCTCCAGCGTAGTGAAGGATGTACCTGATGGACTCGCCAAGTCCATTGAGGTGGAAATAGTGCAGTTTCTTTGCCATTTTGCTCCGATTCCTCAACGCAAGTGCCGATAGTCTGGTCGTGCATTACTTATTATAGTCTTGGCATGTAGATAAGTCTTATCTCTTAACCCGTTAGAATCAGATTGATATTTTTATCTATATCTGTTTACATACAATATGATATGAAAAATATAATAAAGATATGAGTTTTCGTACTTACAGTCTTTTACACTTTTGATCGGCCACTCAGATATGTCGTATCTGACATCTTCAAACTTCTCTCCAGCGTAGTGGAGGATGTACCTGATGGACTCGCCAAGTCCATTGAGGTGGAAATAGTGCAGTTTCTTTGCCATTTTGCTCCGATTCCTCAACGCAAGTGCCGTTATTATTGTTTGGCATTACTTATAGTGTCGGTATCTAATGTAAATGCTTACTTATCTCTTAACCCGTGTAGTGAGGTTAAAAAAGTACATGTCCGATATGATATCCGACAACCGGTCATGTATCAATAAAATAGTTTGTCGTCAATAGTCGTCATGGGACGGTTAGTAGATGCTATCATTTTTGGATTATTTCTGAATTGAATGTTTGTTTGTCTCAACTCAACCTCTTTTAAAATTTTATATTACAGAGTGTATGTAGTGTATGTAGTAAGCCGTGTGGTGACGGCAGAGTAGAATACATTTGTCACCAACCCCTACTCTTCCCGCGGGTGTCGTAAGAGGCGACTTAGGGACTACACATCAAACAGAGAATGGGCAGCAGCGCTCTCGGAAAAACATCAATCTTTTAAACTGCGATCTCCAACCCGCCTGCCTAGCGTGGAGATTATGGCAAAACCCTCCACTATAGTGGAGGAGGCTCATAGTCCAGCAGTGGACTGTAAAGGGCTGTTGATGATTACAGAGTGTAAGAATATAACTTGCTTACCAGAACCTTCCCTCATAAATTGGTGAGTTTGACCGATCCAGCATTAAAGTGTTAATCGGCCAAACGATTGATAAAACGAAGATGATTTGTTATTGTTTTCTTTAATGAATGGGCCATCTAAAGTGATGAAACAGTTTTTAAAATAAAAAGAAATAGGTAAAAAATAATAAAGATTTTCTTGATAAGTATAAAATATTCATTACAGCGATTACTTGTAATATTAAACTTACTTTAATATAATATTTTTGTATTGTTTCTCGGAGGAGGGCATTGATCTCTGCAACACAGATTTATACTGTTTATATCTACTTCTGCAGGAGTTATCGTTTTTTCCATTGTATCTTGTACTTTTACTGTTGTTATAGCAAATAAATTATTATTAGGTTCACAATGAATATGCATTTTTTTCTATCATGAATTTAAATCTATAAATGGAACTTACTTTGAACGTGGATTTTGTGAGTACCTGCCTACTTAAGTAAAATCCACGAATTGTAGACTAAAAATTATAACTACTACGACGACTAAAAGTAAAGTTAAAGCTAATGATATAGTCTGAATATGACAGACTTACTTACATTGAAGAAGAGGCTGACAAAAGTGACTGAGTTTCTTCCGCCACTTCTTCTCAGCACCAGGCCCAGCCCATAATGTTGTCCCGAAGTGGTAGTAGGGCAAGCTATTTGGGACGTGCATAAGCGCCCTGGAAAAGACCTAAGTACTGAATAAAAAAATTGACTTTAGCTGCAGTAGGTATAATAGTCATTGAGAATATGAAATGAATGAAAGTTTTCATTAATAATAATTACCTATATCTCTCTATAATAAATACGAGTATCACCTGAAACGTTTTATTATTTGTTTATCCAAACAGACACAGGCCAGATAGTGTAACCTGGCAGGTCAGAGATAAATAACACAATGGATCACTTGTAACCAAGTGGTTATCAATTAGACCTCCTGTATTATGTATGACATAACCGTCTTTATGTACGATGATAAAAAGAACTGGAAGCATAATTTATAAGTATACATCATGTTATCTCTAAAAGATACAAGTCATTCTTTGTTTGCAAACAATCCATTGGGATAAAAATTTATTTATTAGGTATAACGTGTTATCTCTGAAAATAATATGTAGTTGCCAAGGATTACCTACTGACCTAAACCTAACCTGGCTGCTCATTAAAATAAAAAACCATTTCCAGTGACTAAAGTCTTGATAAAATTCTAATTCATAATACAGATCATCATCATCGTCAATATCATTTTAGCCACAGGACGTCCACTGCTGAACATAGGTCTCCCCCAATGATTCCCATATCGAAGGTGGGTAGCGGCCTTCATCCTGTGCCTTCCTGCTACCTTTATGAGGTCGTCGGTCCACCTTGTGGGTAGACATCTCACGCTGCGAATACAAATACAATAGTAAAACTCTATCAGCATTTTCATGGCTTTATTGCCGATCTTGGTTTGGGAACCTTGACTAGCATAAACTGGAAAGAATTTGTAGATAGATCTATGTTTTCTAAAGTTACAAATATTAATAAAGAGGTTCTATTAGATTCATAGCCGTGTTTTCGTGCACGATATAAACTTTCCGTGACGGACCAAAATATACGCATTCCAAGTCGCTACATACGTCTTCTAATGTTATTAAATAATGTTAAAGTAACTCTGTCTGTCTATGTGTTACTTTTTATCGATTAAGCTACTAAGCTACTGATTTAGATCAGGAATACCTGAATAGGATAGTTTTTGAAAGGCAGGGGAAAACATAGGATAGATTTTATCCCGGCTTATTTCGGAACAAACAGGCGATCATNTGTGCCTGAACAGACATGAACCCTGCAATAATTCACATACAGCTGAAAATTAGTACGAATGTTTGGAGCACAATTATGGATGAAATGTGAAAAGTCCCCATCGATCCGACATGTGCTAAAAAAAATTCAATGTCAAAGTTGAAAAATACAAGCTTTTACCTACTTACGTAAAATCTACGAATTGTAGGCTAAAAATTATAAATATATCTATAATTTTTTCAAAAAGCTAATACCTATAATATAAAAAAAATATGACAGACTTACTTAACTACTCGTACATTGAAAAAGACGCTGAAAAAAGTGACTAAGTTTCTTCCGCCACTTCTTCTCAGCCCAGCCCATAATGTTGTCCCGAAGTGGTAGTCGTCGTCGTTTCAGCCGAAAGACGTCCACTGCTGGACAAAGGCCTCCCCCAAGGATTTCCACAAAGACCGGTCCTGCGCCGCTTGCATCCAGGTACTTCCCGCGACCTTCAGTGATGGTGTATGGCTCTGAGACGTGGTCGCTTACTATGGGCCTCATAAGAAGGCTCAAGGTCACCCAAAGAGCGATGGAGCGTGCTATGCTCGGAGTTTCCCTGCGTGATCGAATCAGAAATGAGGAGATCCGTAGGAGAACCAGAGTGACTGACATAGCCCGCAGAATCGCTAAAATCAAGTGGCAGTGGGTGGGGCACATAGCTCGAAGAGCTGATGGCCGCTGGGGCAGGAAAGTTCTTGAGTGGCGACCACGAGCTGGAAGACGTAGCGTGGGCAGGCCTCCCACTAGGTGGACTGACGATCTGGTGAAGTGGTAGTAGGGCAAGCTATTTGGGACGTGCATAAGCGCCCTGGAAAGGACCTAAGTACTGAATAAAAAAATTGACTTTAGCTGCAGTAGGTATAATATTCATTGAGAATATGAACTGAATGAAAGTTTTCATTTATAATGTCTCTCTATAATAAATATCGACTGAAACGTTTTATTATTTGTTTATCCAAACAGACACAGGCCAGATAGTGTAACCTGGCAGGCCAGAGATAAATAACACAATAGATCACTTGCAACCAAGCGTTAAGCGGTTATCAATTAGACCTCCTGTATTGTTATGACATAACCGTCATTATGTACGAGTACGATGATAAAAAGAAGTGGAAGAATAATTATAAGTATACATCATGTTATCTCTAAAAGATACAAGTCATTCTGTGTTTGCAAACAATCCATTGGGATTAATATTTAGTACTAGCTTTTGCCCGCAGCTTCACCCGCGTGAAATTTAGTTTGTCACAGATCGTCATAAATTATAGCCTATATACAATAATACTGGGTTATAAACAATAATACTGTAAAGTTTCAACAAAATCTGATCAGTAGTTTTTGCGTGATAGAGTAACAAACATCCAGACATCCACACAAACTTTCGCATTCATAATATTAGTAGGATAGTAGGATAACGTGTTATCTCTGAAAATAATATGTAGTTGCCAAGGAATACCTACTGACCTAAACCTAACCTGGCTGTTCATTAAAATAAAAAACCATTTCCAGTGACTAAAGTCTTGATAAAATTCTAATTCATAATACAGATCATCATCATCGTCAATATCATTTTAGCCACAGGACGTCCACTGCTGAACATAGGTCTCCCCCAATGATTCCCATATCGAAGGTGGGTAGCGGCCTTCATCCTGTGCCTTCCTGCTACCTTTATGAGGCCGTCGGTCCACCTTGTGGGTAGACATCTCACGCTGCGAATACAAATACAAAAGTAAAACTCTATCAGCATTTTCTTGGCTTTATTGCCGAATCTGAAAACCTTGGCTAGCATAAAATTGAAAAGAATTTGTAGATAGATCTATGTTTTCTCAATTTAAGTTTCAGATATTAATAAAGAGGTTCTATTAGATTCATAGCCGTGTTTTCGCCCACGATAGACTTTCCGTGACGGACCAAATTATACGCATTACAAGTCGCTACATACCTCTACTAATATTATAAAATAATGCTAAAGTAACACTGTCTGTCTATGTGTTACCTTTTACCGATTAAGCTACTAAGGCTGGGTTGCACCATCTTACTTTAACTTTGACAAACGTCAAAAATCTGTCAAACTCCATACAAAAAACACCGGTTATCGTTCAAGTTACGGTCAAAGTTAGATGGTGCAACTAAGCCTAAGCAACTGATTTGGACCAGGAATACCTGAATAGGATAGTTTTTGAAAGGCAGGGGAAAATATAGGATAGATTTTATCCCGGCTTATTCCGGGATAAACAGGCGATCATATAATNGCGATCATATATTTTGGTAGACCGAAATTCTTGCGGGCAATGCCTTGGTAAAACTATTGCATTATAATTTTTGTGAATAAAAACAAATACAATATAATATTAAACATTTCTTTATTCTAACTGAGGAGGTTTGTAAGGTTCCCTTTTTGACACGTACGCTTTCACACCAGGGTATCCATGTATTTCTGATACAAGAGCTGCTATGGCAGGATAATTTGTCTGTAGTGTGTCATTCAAATACAAGTTCAGAAGCTCGACTGCCCCCACTAGTATGAAGTCAGCCCAGGATAACTGTAAAGAAGAAACAAATCAAACAAATCATTAGTATCTTGATAATTTATTGCCATTTATATTGGTAACAATAAATAAAGAAATAAATATTCGTTCTCCATAATTAATGAGTTTGAAATGTTACATCTCAACAACGATTTCAATGATTTATAAAAGAGTCAGCAGTTAAAAAAAACAATCAAATCAATGTGTCAATCAACACCCTATAAAAATACTACTCGTATCTATTAGGTACTTTGGTTTTATAATTTTCATTTGTTCGTTTCAGCCAAATGACGTCCACTGCTAGACAAAGGTCTCCCCAAAGATCCACCTTCATCCAGTATAATTTTCGTAAGGTTGTAAAACTTAGCGCCTATGTTTGAAGTGATAGCAAAATTACCTTTCCACCAAAATGACCGCCATTCGCTTTCAGCTCTTTGTCGAATCTAGAATAGAAGAAAACTATATCTCCTTCTAGAGTCTTTTTTGCATCTTCTCTCTTCTTTGGGTCTGACTCGTAGTAATATGCAACGAATTCTGAAACAAAATTAAGTATTATTTTCTATTTATCAAGTACTAAAATCCATAAATAAATAGCATAAATAGTTTATCGATTAGATACGTCATTAATTTTTCATTTTTACTAGCTGATCTGGCGAACTTCGTACCGTCCAAAACATGCCTGCCTATGTACATCACAAGTGATATAGAATTCTAATTAGGTATGTAAGAATTTTTCAAACCGGTCTAGTAGTTTCGGAGCCTATTCAATACAAACAATCATACATTTCTTGTAATAGGTTAGGTACCTTTTAAATTTTATTTTATTTTAACTACAAGTATGCAGTTTTAGTCAGACCCGTTTATACTTACTTTTGAGAAGATCATAAACATTCAACACAGCAGCATCCAGCTTGGCTTGTTCCCACAGGTCTGCCGGCAGGAGACCCGTCTGGCTGGCCACGTACCGCGCAATGGCTATGGACTGGTTGAGGACTCGGCCATCTTCCTCGTATATTGGCAACTGGCCGTATGGTAGAGCTGAAAATATAGAACTACATTAGTAAACAGGTACTGCTACCACTGCATCTTTAATTTATGCACAAAGGCTGCTGACTACCAGACTAGTAACAAGTAAAATCCATATTTATCCAAGTATGCAATGCTTATGTTAGAAATGGGTTCACTATAGTGAATCGGACTATAGTTGCGAGGATCGAAATAACATAGCTTGAATATCGAGTCGGTAGGTTGTTTTTAACACCACGTCAAGCTATTGTTGCGTGCCAACTGGTAATACAAAAATCTCTCTACAATCAATTACCCAATTAAAAATACGGGACTATAAAACAGTACCTAATTAAAAATCAGTAACACTAATAAAATTATAATTCCCTAACTAATCTCTATCAAAAATACCGATAAAAATATGCATGGCGACAGCTAATTTAAAGTATGTACTTGTAAATAAAAAATATCATATTCATATTATGCCAATCATCAGTTACCTAAGTACATGATGGGCGAAATAAATAAAAATGCCTATTCATTGCTTTTTCACACTCATCTATATTTTGTCCAATCACTCAAAAATGAGTAAAACAGACAGAGGTGTCTGTTTTCTTTGTTTTTCTCACGTGAAAAAAGGTAAGTTACAGAAATGTCAAAAACAATTTCATCCGGAAATTGAGCCGAAGTAAATAATCATAAAAGTTAAGATTAGATTCGATAACCAACATCGTATGATGCTAGCAATCAAAATAACACGCCTATTAAATACAAACAGTCAATAATAAAAGCATTGTACTCACAGTCCTTGACTTCTTTAATTGGCCACTGGCTGTGGTCATAGCGCACATCCTCGAACTTGACGTTTCCATAATGTAACATGTACCGAATGGCCTCGGTGTAGCCATTGACATTGAAATACGCTAATTTCCGCGACATATTAATACTGTTTTAACTCCGAAGCAACGGTTAAGGTATATTTCGATGTAATAATATTTTTTGAATACAATATTTTTTGAATTGAGAGCGTCTAATTCCACCTGAGGTTTGAACAGATGTGGTGACCGTGAACCGCCTCGTCCCAGCGCCCGCGCAGGTTAACCAATGAACGTTAGGGATTCACCACAACAAGAAAATTAATCTATTAACCATTCGTTATCAAGTAACCACTTTCAGGGTTCCTTGTATAAAAAGTACCTATTATACTTTTTAAGTGTTATTGGATTTTTCCTAAAAGACAGTGATCACGATAGGTCGTAAGGACTTTGAAAACTCAGTAAAAAAACTCAGTAAAACTCATTTATTTCTGTAAGTAGGCTTTAAAAAAGCACTTTTACGAAATAGCTTTAGTACTAGTGCTTGTTGAAAAAATAGGTGACCCAAGGTCAACACCACATTTTGTATTCCAAGCTGGTCCCATAATCAGTACTTTTAAAGGTTTTTGCAACATCAAACGTCGCATCTACATAATTATAAACAACTAACTACCTACACTTAAGGTGGCACAATATTGGTAAAATTGATGTGTAGTAGTTTATCTTCTTGACTCCAGTATTATTAGAACTTTTTTTTTTCTAGCGACATATTCTCTGGCTTTAATTTTCAATACTAACTGCTATTCTTGTGGTCTTAAGTAATTATTAATACTTCATTAATCGAGTTTGTTGCAACAATTCGATACGGAACCGTTCATTCTTAGATAGCTCAAACTTATCGGATTCTTACACACACATCATGACTTGCGATTTTTTAAGTGTTATTTGATAAGCAGGACACATAATGCGATCACGTAGTTTGAATATTTATACAGTGTAATTAAAATTTTCTAGGGTTAAGAGTTCCTCAGGCAAAATTCATTTTTTTCAAGCTAGGTATTTAAAATTTAAACAGGGTGTTAGAAAGAGGGTTAGGAAAACTTCTTGAGTGTATAGGTGGGTCATTTTGAGTATACGAATTTGACCATTTGATCCTACGAGATCCTACTATTTTAATTATTTTTTTTCGAAATTGATTCCCCGTTTTCAATTGACTTTTTTGTTTGGTATTATTATTGAATACCAATGTTTTTGGTCTAATTTTAGATCCTAATAACATTTGGATAGCTGATTAAAGTTCAACAAAAGCATAAAAAAATGAGAAAAGGTCAACTTTAAAAATAGTATTAAGGTACTTGATACAAATAAGGCCTACGTTCTAATAAGGCCTATACATCAGAAAACACAGATAAATACATCCGACCGGGATAATACTTCAAGGACACGTACTCATATGCCCTACAACCCGGTAGAGTGCAAGAGCGTCCCGATCCACGATCCCAGCACCAATTGGCACGCGTTCTTCTAAGGTGGTGGGTGATTTCGTGCTCTCCTATAAAAATCTGGCGATTTCATCTTAAATTTTCGGTAAAATGACGCTGTTTTAGATTAAGCTTTTCTTAGTAATCGTTTCTAAATATTTCTTACTAGCTAATAATTACCTTAATTTGTACTACTGGCTATAGATGCATTATTTGTAAATTTTTAAAGACAACAAGAGCGAGATATCTAATAAGGCCTAGGCCTTATTTCAGCATGGTAGGCCATATTAGATACTTATGTCAACACCTGATTACGGACAAATTCATTAAACTAAATGAGTCAAAGAGTAACTAAATATATATTTAATAAGAATGTAACTAACAACACAGAAAAGAAAAATAAAACAGAGTCGAAAAACATTACAAAACCTGTTAAAAAAAGAAACAAAATACAAAACCAGTAAAAAATAAGAAAAAAAAGTTGTATGTATAATTCTAAAGGAAAGGAGAATGAAAGCTGGTATTATCATGCCTCTCTCGAAGACAATGTAGCAGATATGCGAACATAAAGGACTGCTTTTGGTGGTATCACAAAGATTGTGTAGGTTGTTCGTAGAGATGATTCAGAAGCCTTTTTATGCCCTGGTTCTAACAAAAATTGAGATCTCATTTTGTTTACAAAAATTCAAGACTAAATTATGTCCCTAAACTGATTTATTTAAAAGGTTTTATGTGTAGGCCTTATTCGAACACGGTGTTTTAATAAGCCCTATACAAAAAATAATATTGTTTGTTTTTGATTTTTTTTTTTGATAATTTAAGTAAATAATCATTACTACGTTACTATGAATATTAATTTTTGTCTATAATTTATGTATTATTTTTAATAAGTGGAATTTAAGTTTATCTAGAGATATACAGTATATTTCTGTTTACTTGGTATGTAAAATTTTGATAACGCAAACAAATCGACGTGTTTAATGTTATAAGACCGCATTTATTTTAATACAACCTCAATTTTAAGGTCTACAGGCATTTGAAACATATAGGCCTTATTCCGTGTAGGTGATTTAATAAAGCCAAAATCAGTGGTTTTGTAATTTGCTTATTTTGGATAGATTTAGTTAAAAAATTTGTTATTTTTTGTAATATTGCTAAAATTAAAGGATGGAAGAAGTTAATTAACCTTGTTTTTGTTGACTGGCGTTAATATTTATTGAAATATAAGCATTTAAAGTAAGGTAGGCCTTATTTGTATCAAGTACCTTATAATTACAGGTGTTAGGTAAATGAGGTTATAAGCCGACACTGCGGCGGCGAAAAAAGAGTAAATTATACATACGTACAGTCTTTTATACTTTGAATCGGCCACTTCGACCTGTCGTATCTGATATCTTCAAACTTCTCTCCAGCGTAGTGAAGGATGTATCTGATGGACTCGCCAAGTCCATTGATGTGGAAATAGTGCAGTTTCTTTGCCATTTTGCTCCGACTCCTCAAAGAAAGTGCCGATGTTCTATATTGTCCATTATCTATTTATCTATGATATTCCGATTGTCTTATCAGACAATAATATCAGCATTTTATAGAAAAATAACCTACTTATCGCTTACATAACCCGTACAGTTTAGTAGATAATTAAAGCAGATTCATGGTCACATTTATTCGGAAAAAATTAATAAACACAAAAAATACATATTTATAAAAGTAGCTTTAGCACTTAATCAAATCGATGACCGAATTTTTATTCTCAAAATTACCTTACCTGTTCAGCATACCATCTACGAAGATGTCTAACCCTCTTTCAAACACCCTGTATACTGTATAATGTAGTACAAACGACTGACAGACTGTTATTGCAATATGAATCCTATTACAACTGTTATTATGATACAGGTCTTGAGTTTGGTACCAGCAGCTACCAATCCAATCAGTCGAAAAATACCTTGCTATTTAGAGTATTTATAAAATTAAAAAAGTTTTTATATGGTATAACAATAAAAGGGATGTATATAATGCGCTTAATTCTAATTAAAAAAAAACTCGCATATTACAAAAATCATTTAATATACCATACAACTTACAAATACTGTATTAACTTTAACTGACAGGAGCGGAAGATTTTTTGTTAGCCAAGTACTCCTTGACTCCTGGGTTTGCGTATATCTCAGATATAAGAGCTGTTATCGCAGGGTACTTAGTGTTTACTGTCTGATTGAGTTGTAGGTTGAGTAGCTCAGTAGTGTTCACTAAAATGAAGTCTGCCCAGGATAACTGAAAGAAAAAAAGAAGAATTAGGAACTAATTCTGCCAACAAAGAAAGGTAAAGTAAGGTGTACACCTTGAGATACAGGTACAAGTAAAGGACGTAGCACATTTATCAACCCGGAAAGGGATTGTAACCGTGTCAACTCGAGACGGTCAGTATTCTTTGTATGAAACTCCATACTGCAACGCACACTTATCCGCACCATAAGGTAAACGCCTCACCTCGCGGTTGACAGCGCGCGTACGGCGATACGGTGTTGATCGTTTTCTGAGTTGATAAGTCTGCTATGACCTTAAGTATCATAAGTATCATCATTTCAGCCAATGAACGTCTATACAAAGACCTCCCTTAAGCATTTCCGAAAAGACCATTCCTGCGCTGCCCGCATCCAGGTGCTTCCAGCGACCTTCATCAGATCGTCGGTTTAGCTTAGTAATCTTCTAAATAATAAAATATACAGGGTGGAATTTTGTAATGCCATCTGGAGGGAAAGTACTCTTAATACTGTAGATAGAAAATTTTACTAAAAGAAAACATTCCTTTATTTTTGAAAATAAAGCGAACTGCATTCAAAGATTTTTGATTATTTTTTTCGAAAATTCACTATCATACCATACAATTTTCTGTAACATAATTAAAATAATTTAAGATGTCATGGTTTTCCTTTCATTTGATTTATCCAGTTTGTTAGAGAGATTTCATCCTTATACTTAACCCTAACGATCGATGTAATAAAAATACAGGCTGTAATTTTTAACAGATTTTAGTTGGTTCGATTCCCGGGTGTGGCAAGCACATTTTTGGAAATCTTTGAATGCAGTTCTATTTCTTTTCAAATACACCGTGTTACTTTGCATTCTTGCCATATTCACAGAGATAAAAGTAGGTAACAATACCTATTATTTAAGATAAACAAGAGACTCCCATAAAGAAAGTACACTAAGATTTTAGTAAATTTGGTTTTTCAGTACAAATTGGAATAAACCAATTTTGTCTCGCACGTTCTACAGGTGCAAGTGGAATAAACCTAGTGGGCGTGGCCTAGTTCTTAATTTTATGGCTTTGGGTACCAGCCTTTTTATCCAGTCATAATAACTATTTTAAAATACTCTTCAGTTGATTTCAGATTTTCCTTTCTACTTTACGGGCTTAGGACCGTCAAAAATACGTAATAATTAATAGGGTTTCAATTAATTTACAACATTGTACCCTATTTTTACAAATTAATAAATTAAGTATGAAATGAAATCACCTTATTCACAATTAATTATTTATTCATAAGTTCCTACTTACAAAGTTTACGTACTGCGAAGCAAGTGTTCAAAGTGTCCTCCGTTCTGATGAAGGCACAGTCTAGCACGGCGAAGCGTAGGTTTTTCGCTTTAGTTTTCGCAACACATAAACGTTTTGTATCACAGTTTCACTAAAACAATCCTTTCATGTAACGCGTTTACACTGTTTATCTCTTCTGCGCATACCAGTCGTTTCAAGTCACTCCAAAAATCCATTGGTGTCAGGTCCGAGGATCGTGGTGGCCAAGCTACTGGACCCCTCGTCCAATCCACTGTTCACCAAACGTATTATTCGCGCACTTGACGTCCTTATTGTGGGGGAGCACCATCCTGCTGGTAGTAGAGCATTTGGTGTAACGCTAAGGGTACGTCATCAAGCATTTCGTCTAAGACGTCTTGTAGACACTCCAAGCACCATTTTGATTAAATTATTCGTTGTTTGAATACACTTCAGACATTTTTGTATTATTTATAACGTGATTTGTGTTTGATGGATTTCTCAGTTTTTTACAAGTGTCAAAAAGACATTTTAAAGACAATAGATTGCAATAGATATTTAAAAATACAATAAAAAGTAAAAAAGTCTCCATCGCCATCGCCAACAAGTGATGTGCATGCGTTACGATAATTAGTGGTGTGTTTAACAGATTGTCGATAAAATAAAATACTCAAGATTAAAAAAAAATTTTGGATTTGTGTTCAGTATCAGTAATATAGTAACCTCTGTAAATATGGCAAGAATGCAAAGTAACACCCTGTATAAAGGAATGTTTTCTTTGAGAAAAAAATTCTATCTACAATATTAAGAGTACTTTCCCTCCAGGTGGCATTACAAAATTCCATCCTGTATAACTCAAAGGTGAACGACTGACTGACATAGACATCCCTCTTGGACTAGAAATCGTTTTCCACAACAAAACAGCTTACCTTTCCACCGAAATATCCACCACCCGCATGCAATTCTTTCTCAAATCTAGAATAGTAGTAATCTACATCTTCAAGCACCTGCTTTTTAAGTTTCTCCTTCTCTTCTGGGTCTTGAGCGTAAAAGAATGTCGCGAGTTCTGGAATAAAAATGTGACGTCTTCAATGTAAGAAATTATACAAATCCATAAACGTATGGTAAAATGAATAACTAATAATTTTTCTTCGTGCCTTTACAATACAAATTACTAATGATTACGAATTACAAATTACTACGAGTGGGTTCACTGCACTATGTTACGCTGTTGGAACTAGCGTTTCTTTGATCTCGAGTCGGCCATTGTCGCTTCTTCGCTCTTAATCTGATATGTTTCATCAACAGCCCTTTACAGTCCTTTTTTACTCTGCCGTCACCACACTGATATATTATTATTTACTACTGCTCACTTACTCTTAATAAGGTCATAGATGGTCAACACCGCAGCATCTAACTTTGCTTGTTCCCACGGGTCTGTCGGCAATAGACCGGTCTGGCTGGCCACGTACCGCGCAATGGCTATGGACTGGTTGAGGACCCGGCCATCTTCTTCGTATATTGGCAGCTGGCCGTATGGTAGAGCTGGAAGTAGGCACTATTTAAACTATGTAGAAAACACTTTATGCCCATTGCACAAGGTTCGAAATGGATTGAAGTATTTTGTACCTTCTTTGTAAATAGTAAAAATAAGATATTAAGTGGAATGAAGGACGTCGCACATTTATCAGCCCGAACAGGGATCGTAACCGTATTAACTCGAGGCGGTCAGTATTCTTTATATGAAACTCTATATTGCAACGCACACTTATCCGCACTGTAACGTAAACGCCTCGCCTCGCAATTGACAGCGCGCGAAAGGCGATGACAGCTCGGAAAAGGCGATACGGTGTCGGATCCCTTTCCGAGTTGATGAGTTTGCTATGAGCTTAAGGCCTCAGCCTCGAACTTAGCGGGCAGCGGGGCGGGAGCGGCGGCGGCGCGGGAGCGGCAGGATCTTATGCGTAAAATCAAATAGACCGGTTCTCGAAAACAGCGGCGCGGCAGCGGCGCCGGAGCGGGCAACGAGCGGGCAGCGGCGAGGGAGCGGGCAACGAGCGGGCAGCGCACTCCTTCTTTTGCCCACAATAAATCGAGCGTTAGGAATAAATTTGAATCGAAATAAAATTGTCGCCGTTGTTCAGACATTTCGTTCGCGAATAAAAACAAATATCTCGACAACACAACCCCGAACACAACACTTCGCCGCTAAAGCGCCGCGCGAGCTGCCCGCTTGTTTCGAGAACGGGTCTGCGTTGCCCGCCCCGCTCCCGCGCCGCCGCCGCCGCCGCCCCGCTGCCCGCTAAGTTCGAGGCTGAGACACTGCCTGTAATGCTCACATCCTTGCAAAGTGACAACTGCTATCCAATGGCAGTACGAATTTTTAATAAATTGCCAGATGAAATAAAAACACTGCCTATTCGAGCATTTAAGACACGCTTATTTAAATTATTGGTTAGCAAATGTTATTACACAGTGCAGGAATATTTAACAGATAAGTCAATAAGAGTCTTTGAATAATTATATTGATGTTATAAATTATTATTAGATGACATTTGCAATTATGTATGTAATCGTTATTGAATTATGCTTGGTGAATCTTTGACATCGACAATTTCTGAATTTTTGACATTGAGTATCTACTATTGACATTTATATTGACATCTTACATTGATAATATTTTAATGGAATTTGTTGAAATGTTTAATAATTAATTAATTTTATATTTGCATGTCAGAAATGACTAATTGTGAGACCTAACTGTATTGTACACCTTTATCTCCGCCATTAGATTATTATTTGGCTCGCCTACGCACACAGCACGACCTGCCCGCACCACGGTCGGACGGCGAATGCCCCCACCGCTGACTGGGCTGTGACGTATGCGCTCGAGACAAATGTCTATACACTACATCCCTTCCTTGTTTTAATTTGAAATAAATACAATTTATTATTTAATTAACTTTTGAGCCGCTTCTTTATTAGGCGCTTTGTTTTAATCATTTGATCATTATTGCTTCACTGTTTTACTATTTTCAGTATCCATAATATATTGCTATTAGCTTCTGATTAACTTGAAATTTGGCATGCAGGTATCTTAGTAAACTTAAAGCTTAGTTACAACAGGATATTGTAAAATTCCCACGGGAACGGGAGTTAGCGGGAAAAAACATTTGTATGAAAAAATCTAAACCGCGTAAGATAGACGCTTGAAATTTGGCATGCAGGTACCTTAGTAAACTTAAAGCTTAGTTACAACAGGATATTGCAAAATTCCAACGGGAACGGGAGTTAGCGGGAAAAAAAATTGTATGAAAAAATCTGAACCGTGTAAGATAGATGAAGGGGGGGTAAAACGAGATCCACGCGTACGAAGTCGCGGGCGGCCGCTAGTAAGTAAATAAAATGTAATGTATTTATAATCTTATTTCATCTATAATTTTGTACCGCCCACTTTATTCTATGTATGTATGTATGTAATTTCATTTTTTTATCTATCTGCTAAGTCAAATAAAGAAGGCTTCGCAGTAAAATCGTTCGCAGTAAAGTTTTTCGATGTAACGTAACATCGCAGTAAGAAGGCATCGATATAACAAGGCGTCGCAGTATAATAACTTCGCAGAAAGGTTTTCGAAGAAACAAAATTCGATGTAACGTTTGTCGCACTCACGTAGGTAACCCGCGGGGGGACTGACCGATAGCTCGTCCGCGTAATAATAGCTACCATTTTCCTGGTTTCATGGATTTTTCCGTGATTTTTTTTTTACCACCCCTGAGATGGGCGTTGTTTTACAAAACCACACCCTGAAGACTGGAAAAACCCGTTAAAGTAACTGCTTATTGTTTTGCGTTACACATTTAGCATACTTTCTTTATATTATATTATTTGTGATTGTTACTTGTTGTGTAGGTATGCCTAATAATAAATAAATACCAAGTAAAATTAAGGATAAAAACTGTTTCATTCCGTAATAATTTTTAGAATGCTGATATGCAACCAAATGGAGAAATTATGATGCGAAAGTTCTTGGGATTGTTCAAACAAACCCAACCACACCAATCTCCAAGTGGATTCGTTCGTTCGTTTTTGTTAATATTTTCTTAGTTGTTAGTTCTCATTGTTATGATAAAAAAGTAACTTGAAAATTATAACCTTAAGGTGCGTATTATAATGCTCGATTCTCCTCCTTTACTGTAATGGTCGGTTTTTTCCCTCACTGATGTAATGTTCGAATCTGTAACATTACATTACGGGAGCATCTTTATTGTTTTTTATCATTGTTTTTTTTTTGTTTATCGTTCTTACCACTATAGCGATCAATTACTAAGTTATTACTATTTTATAACATTGGTATGCTGAAACAAGATTTTATTTATTTATTTATTTGCACACACACACATTTACTATTTTCACTGGCTAACTCAATATAAAAATGCCAATCATTTACAATAATTCAAATAATAATAAATGTTTATTTCATATTACATTTTCAGAATAAAATGAAATACAATAAAATAAATATCAAAATACATGCATAAACACATTTTTCGTAACAATCAAAGTCATAACAAAAGAGCTACTATTTGCATGCTCTGCGCTCTACACTACTCTGTAAAGGATTGACAAACACACATTTGACACTTGACAGCTACGATAAAGCAAAACGCCTGTTGATTTCTTCACGGCAAAGTTTTTTTTGGAAAATCAAAAATTCTCAATAACAATGCATTAATACCAAAAACGACAAAGGGGGCGACCTTCAAAATATTAATTTGAACATTTCCATATAAGAATTATTGCTTCATACGTTACATTAACAAAGTTCTCGAAGAAATAAAATTTCCATACGTCTCCATTTTAAATGTTGTTTATCAATTTTTTACGTATTTATTTAAAATTTCGAAAAGGCGGCGACCTAGATCAAGGATTGGCCTACCCTACACAAGTTCCTTTGATGTATTTAAGCCATTAATCGCAGAGCACTCGTCATTTAAAAATATGTCAATTTTAAGGATTCTGTGCAGGACCCCCTTAAAATTTTTTTACAATCGAATTCCTACTTCTTATTACCTGTATTACAACCTTAAAATAATATCTTCTTCTATGCTTCTTCTTTTGAATACCACATCGAATCCCTAGCTCAAACGTGCCAAACTAAAGGACACATTTGTTAATTCTGTCTAGTAAATTAATTAATTTGTCTGCACTTGATTGCAAAGCTAGATAATAAGATAAAAGTTTTTCAGGGCCTCTAAAATACCTAATTGGAATGGAAAAGTTTTATTCAGTTAATTCTGTTATAGGCATAAAAACTATGCGCTCTTATTAAAATAATATTTTATTTCAAACACCACGTACAATTTTAACTAATACCCAAGAGAATATAACCGTGAACAGAAGCTAGCTTTTCATAAAATAATTTGATCCCTTAGATTATTTATTTTTTATTATTTATTAGATAGGCACAGTCGACAGAATATCACAAGCATTTTGTTATGTCATTTGGCTTATAAAAATTTGGCAACACCATTGCAATGCCATCCTGTGTATTAACTGGAATTTAACTTTGCTTATCATTGAATAATATCTCTTATTAATGCTAAACTGAACAATATTTATGGCAGACCTTTATGGCCGTAATGGGCTAACTCCTGTACTCGTGTCGTACATACAAACTTTATGCCTGATCGGTTTCAGCTACGTTTATAGATACAGGCTGTTTAATAAAGGCATAATGTTTAATAATTACATGTTAGTTAAAATTACCCACTCTACAGGTTGTTTCAATCATTAGCATCCTTTTAACTTAACCCTTCGTTCGTTCATTCGTTTCAGCCGAAAGACGTCCACTGCTGGACAAAGGCCTCCCCCAAGGATTTCCACAAGGACCGGTACTGCGCCGCTCGCATCCAGGCGCCTCCCGCTTACCTATAACTTAACCCTTATATGCCCAGAACTATTTTTCTCTCAGAGTTATATTATGTAATTTGGCATAAACACAGTTTTCATAGGTATCGCAAGAAAACATGTACCATTGAGTCGTTTTCGTGCCTCTGGGCATAATATAATTATGTGATAAGACTATTGACATAATACAATAGTACATTCTCCAAATATTACACGATACTTAATACATGGTAAGAATATTTTACACATAACGAGTACATTAAATGCGGCAGTTTTAAGTCTGATTGTTTTTTTTCTAATTACTAATCTATTTATTGGAAAAACTTAAGTGCTTCATTGACTGTTCATAAAATGACTACTTACTTATGTATTCATTTGATGAAAAACCTCACTTATAAAGAAACCGTCGCCTTAATATTATTTGTTTTTTCGTCAAAATAAGTACAAATGCTTACAACTGCGTAAAAAAGTAAATTAAGTCGAACAGAGCGTAAGAAGTTAGAAATTCAAAGGTCATCAGGTTGACGTCTGGGTCAACTTAGAGGTCATGCGGTCATCGTCTCGACTTTTAGGGGGTTGGGGTAGAATGGTTACTATTCAAATTAAACAATCGATTTTGTTATTTCCACCCAACCTATATCTATAAAAGTGAAAGGTCATTGATTGACTGACTGACTCACTCACTCATCACAAAATCTCAAAAACTACTAGTGCTAGGTGTCTAAAATTTTACATGGGGGTTCCTTTTAGAACGGAGGTGCTCACTAAAACGGGATTTTACAAAATTCAACCCCTAAGGGGGTTAAACGCGATCCACGCGTAAAAAGTTGCGGGCGGCCGCTTGTAACTTATATTTTTGTTCAAATAGATCAGGAAAATTATGGTAAGTTGAGTACGACAAAAAAGTTTATACGGAACCCTCCGTGCAGTGCGATTCACATTTGACTAGATTTTTTAAATATATATATAATCATACTTTGATAAGAGATAAACAGTTTATCACTGCGTTGCTTGATAAAAATTATGTAATAAACCAAAACCTACACTGAAATAATTTTTTAGTTAGGTACTGCTTACACAAAAAAGTGACTTGCGAACTAAGTGCAAACCTATAACCAAACCAAGTTTTAGCCGACTTCTTTGTGTAAGCAGTAACCAAACCACTTTTTCAGATTCGTACTACGAAGTCACAGGCAGTAACCAGAGATATAAAACGTGTTGTATATTTTAACTACGCGGTAATAACATGGTAGAAAACCAAGATTAATTTCCAAGATTCTGAGCTTACTAAAACTATGTGCAAGAGCTCTAGCTAGAACATTGGTTCCCAAAGTGGGGGGCGCGCAAATACCTTTAAAGAGGGGCGCAGGCTAACTGTGTACTAAAGTATAAAAAACCTGCGACCGCTGAAAGATTGGATTCCACCAGACTGCTCGATACGACCGAATACGAATATGGGGAACGTGAAGAGGACAGGCACCACGTTCTGTGGTCCTGCCCTTTGTACGAAGACTTACGCCAAGCTCTGATTCAGGGAATCGTGCTCGAGAGACCCGGACTTGCCTGGTACTCCGATCTCGTCTCTTCGGAGGCGAACTTTGCCCGGCTGCGAGAATTCGCGTACGGCTGGCATAGGAGGAGGACAGCTAGCGCTAAACGGCACCAGATGGTGCCATCCGAGGAGTGACGTCAGGCCCCAGAAGGGGGAGAACTGCACAAGAAGGGGGAAGGGGGAGTCAAGAAGTGTGGCGCGGTGGAGTGCAACCTGCCCTAGGCAGCCGCAATTCCGCACACACCTCCCGCGATTCGGCCAGTATAACCGCAAGGTTGGTATGGCTATGGGTGGTGATGGGTTGCTCGATACGACCGATAAATTAATAATCTTGACTGGGAGAGCGCGGTATTTTTTGTAAAATAAGTTTGGGAACCAATGAGCTAGAGTCTCTTAATAAGTCAAATTAGCTTCGCGACGCCGCTCGTTGTTCGCGCTAGCGCTATAACTCGCGCGAAATAAAGTGCACGTAGAGCTTGCGCATTTGTATGGAAAATAAAGCGTCCAAGTAAATTAAAACAGGTGTGAGTGTCTTACTGGCAGCGTGATATTTATGTTTAGATTTTAAATAAAGTGAATAAATATGTGCAAGAGAAGAGTTATAAAGTAAGAGATTGACTCAAAAGGGTTTTTCACAAAAAAAGACGAGCTAAAAAAGTAAAGATTAGGCTACCCATGGCGGCCAGCGTGGGAAGTATAACTTTAACCATAACCATAACTTAAAGCGGTGTTTTTTATGGAGTATAACAGACTTTTGACGTTTGTTTTAGGTAGTTAAAGTAAGATGGTGCAACGCAGGGTTAAACCGGTGTATTAGAAAGAGTCCTTCTCCTGAATTTGAGGCTAACGCCCGTATTCACAAACGATGCTTGCTTAAGTGAAGCAGCAAATCGAACGCACATCGTTGAATAGAGCTCTGTGATTGGTTCGCGTGTCACCCTGTGCGTCCACGCGCACTGTGAGACCTCATAGTAATGTTTATGAATACGGGCGTAAATATCTTGATTATGAATGAATTTATGTTCATTTTACGGCTAACCAAACAGGCAAAGAGGTGAAAAAACTTACTACCAAGACTTCGCCAGGAATAATTTCCATCTCACCTTTTAACTCGATTGCTTCAAAAGCTTACAATTTCTAACATTTTCACCTCTTGACCCCCCCTTTTAATAACTAAACTACAAGTGGTGCACATAAAGTTTGAGGCAAACCACAGCTCGGTTTCAGTACAGTCGAGTACATTATCATTAGGTACACATTCTCGTCATTTTACGTAAAGGTAAAAAAATCTACGATCGATTCTACGATACGCCTAAAATCGATTTTGACTCTAGTTAATTTATAACTGTTTTTTATTCATTTTACAATTCCAGCCAACTAGTATATACATACATTTTAAGTGAGCCTACCGGCAGTTCAATGTCTTTTTGGAAGCCCTAAATGACTTTCCGAAAGTAATAAATATTCAGAAAGTAATGCTGCGAATCCTTGAAAGAAAATTTCTTCCAGATAATGTAAAAAGTAATGTTATGATCATTTACTTCCAAACGGACACGGATTTAGCTATTTACCACCAAAAACTCCTTTCTTCTCTCCCTTCTCCTTTGGATAAATAGGCTATAGGTAATTTGACTGTAATTTTTTGCAATCGACTGTACATTGCAACGTTTTCTTCGAGGTCACCACAACTAAGTGGCAGAACTTTGCTAGAGCTTATGTTTGAGAGAGAACATAGGAAATACGGTTTTATTCCAGATAATTATGTTAACGTACAATGGTTTATTCAAAACTTAACGGTATATTTTCCAGGTCAATATTTGTTATAGACGATATAGATAGATTTTAGGTGCTTGAAAAATAGGGATCTTTTTTCAATAAGCTCATCATCATCATTTCAGCCATATAGGACGTCCACTGCTGAACATAGGCCTCCAATGATTTTCATGTTGAACGGTTGGTAGCGGTCTGCGTCCAGCGCCTTCCTGCTTCCTATATGATGTCCTCGATCCACCTTGTGGATGGACGTACCACGCTGCGCTTTCTGGTACACGGCTTCCCCAGAATCTTGCTGCCCCATCGGCCGTCAGTTATGCGTACTATGTGCCCTGCCCATTGCCACTTCAGCTTGCTAATCCGTCGGACTACATCAGCTCACATCTATCTTCTATAATATAAAAATGAATCGCAAAATGTGTTGGTAAGCGCATAACTCAACAACGCCTGGACCAATTTTACCAATTCTTTTTTTTAAATGTTTGTTGAAGTCCAAGGATGGTTTTTACAGCGAGAAAAGTTTGAATAATTTCCGGGTAAACCCTAAAAAACTCGAAACTTCACCCCTAAGGGTAAAACGGGGTCCACGCGTACGAAGTCGCGGGCGGCCGCTAGTATACTATTAAAATGAATCGCAAAATGTGTTAGTAAGCGCATAACTCAACAACGCCTGGACCAATTTTACCAAATTTTTTTTTAATGTTCGTTGAAGTCCAAGGATGGTTTTTACGGCTAAATTCAACCCCTAAGGGGGTAAAACAGGGTTCACGCGTACAAATTCGCGGGCGGCCGATAGTCTACTATAAAAATAGGTACGCATCAAAAACATACCTTAAAGATCCTTAGAGATGTTATTAATAACCGTAGCCTTGCACATAACCTTGTATTTCCAGACGCCTAAAAATTTGTTGTGCGCAAGACGTCAGCTATAACTCAAAGCTAGGCTGGCCTAGGAAAGATTAAAGGCGAGTAATTTGTAAGGTTAAACACTCTTACTAGGTTAAAACTTAAAACCCTTAAAAGGTTAGGGAATATCTTTTACTGACAGCACTGGAGATACCAAAGTTTCCTAAAATTGAGGTAGCTACGTAACTAAAAAGTTGCACTTACTTGCCTATTATGCAAGATTATTATTATTCTTCTTCTTCTTCCTCGGTCCCTCACTGATGAGGATCGCGACCACAGATAGTGTCAAGTCAAGGTAGTGCAAGATTATACCTACTTTAATTTATATTATTTTAAAATAAACGGAATTTAATATTATAAATAATCAAGTAAAACTAATCTTGAATTAAAGTTAACAGGTTACTAGTAGGTATTTAGGCTAAGCTGAAATTTACACTAAGATGTTACTAAATAACGATCAAACTCGATTTAATCTCATCTTAATCGTCCTGTAAATTGATTTAAATGTTGAGATTTAACCAATCAAAAGTCTCAATCTATGCCTGAAATTATAATATCGAACTTTTAATTTTAACAGAGCGAATTTCGCTCTGTTACACCTTTAGCTTTAATTCAAGACTAGTTTTACTTAATTCCGTTTATTTTAAAATAATATAAATTAAAGTAGGTATAATATCGCACAATAATCAAGTGCTACTTTTCAGTTACGTAGGTACCTCAATTTTAGGAAACTTTTTCCGAATGTAACTTTAATAGCAACAACGTAATTCCAAACAAAGTAACAATTTATTTGTAGCCGGATCCTAAAACCCGTGTTTGATTAGTTTTCTAATCAATTCAAAGCTAATTGATCCTGAACCAATATTGAACGGCGGTAAGCCCGTACATTTGCCCTTATCTCGTAATTAAGAGCTGGCATTAGGTCTTTATGTGCAAACATTACTGAGGTGTACGTCGACGTAACCACTGTGGGTTCTTGTGCAGTTGTAATAGCGGCGAGTTTGCAACAAAAATGAGTAACCTGATGTGCTGTCGAGTGTAGGTACAAACATTACTGATTACTGAGGTGTACGTCGACGAGCGTGATTAGCAGGTAGGTAATGGCACAGAATAAGTAATAGTACAGGTACAGAAGGATTACTCCGCAAGTCGATTTAAATAAATGCGAGTCTTGCTACGACGCGATACAGTGGAATTCAGCTCGCACAGCACTACGTACCTACAATTTTATTCACCTACAAGTTTTGTCTCTTTCTATCGCGTGCCTCTGAACTCTTCTTACGCTGTTAGGGTTGCTGTCTAGTGAAAAAATAATTAATCTACTTATTTGTGATGAGGTACGTATGTAGGTAAGTATGCATTTATTATGGAAAACCTTGGGAGAGGCCTTTGTCCAGCAGTGGACGTCATTTGGCTGAAACGAACGAACGAACGCATTCTGAGCAGTAGTCATAGTAGGTTAGGTTCCTATACTATCCTAAGAATTATTGATTACCTACATGGCCAACATACCTTTCAGCATCTTTGGGAAGCGAAAAAATAAGATAAATCCGGTAGATTTCTTTTCGAATTTAAACACCCGAACGCCGCACAATATTTCTTTCTCTTTATGTCCATTTTTAAATAATACTTCGATCATAGAATTATAATCATACTACAACGCACGCCAGCGTCCTGACGGGCGCGCGCGTGACACTCGACTGATATAATACCCGCCGGCGGGGCGCTTCGCTGTAGGTAATTATCGGATGTACCGCGCGGAGTGAGCCAGGCCTGGTAATGGTAAGATTTCTGCCAGGGAATTTGGCAGGGTTAAGATTATTCAGGTACATGACATTGAGTTGTTACTTTGTTAGTAACTTTCCACTGAAATAAACGCGTACAAAAGATACTTAATTAATCATCTGGCACTCCCAGTAGACGTTTTAATGGTTCTTAATCTATGAACCAAAAGATTACTAGCTTTTGCCCACTGCTTCATCGGCGTGAAAGCTAAACCGACTTAGGTATTTTTAATTTTTCAACTAAAGAACTCAATATTGTTATAAATTAAAGCCTATTTCTTATTGTTATTTCGATTTATAAATAATAATACTACAAAATTTCATCAAAATCCTTTCAATAGTTTCTGCAGAAAAAAGTGTAAAAAATCCATGAATGTATCCTCTATTATGAGGCTTTCAGATCTCCCATTTTTTTACCTGCCAAGCTTCAAAGCTTACATTCAACAAGTGCTGAGAATAAACGCTACACCCATCCAATTACAATGGTCACAAAAATTATCATCATTTTAAAGTCTTTGAATTTCATAAAATGTTAGCCAGATCAATAGGTAATAATTTTACAAGGCAGATAATAATTGTTCCATCCTAGACTGCATCTTACTTAACACCAGGTACGATTGCGGTCAAATACCTACCTTGTCCTGCATAAAAAAAGGTATACATAATTTATCACCAGTCCTAGAGCCCATACTTGAATTTGATAAAATCTTAAACAGACCAATACAAATGTCTTCCAAAATTCCATAACTCACTTTTCCACGGTTTTATATCACCATTACTAGATTACGTGGCGCGGGCACGCAACTAATCACTTCTCCGGCCAATAACTGAAATGGCGCCTTATTTATGGGACCCATAACATGAAAATGGGACCGAACCCTGGCTAATTTATCGCGGACCAGTTCATGTTATTTGTTATTGTAATTAACTGTGAATGGGGCCCGTACTCAGTCAACAGATAATTGGTGGGTTGACGTAAGAAATTATATCAACAAATTATCCGTTCCTGAAAATATTTTGAAAGTTAATTGAACGAGTCACTCACCTGGCACCGGTTTTAGTTTAAAAGAAAAAGACTAAATTAAGGAGTTTCAGTAACGTTTAATCGGATTACAAAGTTCGAATTCAAGGTCAAAAAACAATTTAAAACAATTTTAACTTGCTTCCCCGAATAAGGCTTAGTGAAAATATATTTTTTCACCAATTCTAGTTTAATTCTTCGCCAAAAAGTTTTAATAGTGATTTATCTGTATATTTATCTTTATTTTCCTGTACATTTAAAACAAATGAAACGCAAAGGATCTCATCCCGAATTCCTACAGGGTCACCTTTAGATGCGGAAATCACTTTCATCCGAGACGATCAAATATGCACCCTAAGCTTCCTTATCTTACGCCATCTATTTCCCCTTTCCCTCTCTCCCCAACTTAGGAATCGTTAAACGACAATGTAGTTTCGATAAGGATACATTGACGTGTTTTGATGTAACTATTTATTCAAAGACTCCTTAATAAACCAGGCGTACTTATACTTATTCAGTTGATTAGAGATATAAATTATGTCGAAACACGTTCAATGATGATGATCAATGGAATCGTACTGAGCCCTTCCCGAATAAATAACTATCTATATAGGTAAATTTAATTAGAAGAGCGACACGATAACTATAGGCAACTAAAAATATCTTAAGAGAAGACCCGTATTCTTCAACGACGTCCATTAACAAAATTCTACTGCGTATAAACAATAGATCCACAACTTTCGCATTAAAAAAAGGATCTGTTTCTTAATAGTTTCGAAACTTGCACTAAACCTGTGACTAAACGTTGTCGTCAATCGACGACGAACGTATTTCAGCTTAAAGCAGTCCAATGCTGAACGTAAGCCTCTCCTACAGAGCACCACAAAGCAACCTTCTATCGGTTCTGCGTAGATTTATATCCAGCCCTTCCCCACAAGCTCACACAGTCGTCAATGTATCGGAACTACGATGTTTGTCGCATCTCATAGTGCCGCGCCATGATGTTATCGATAATGTTTTTTCACCCGCACCGTTGTTGGGGTGACAGAATTCTGCTGAGCAGCAATGCTTGAATTCCGTGTTTACTCCGTGGTCACACACCGTGAAAGGATGTGATGACGTGTAGTTTTGTGGGGTGACGTCTTTGTGTCGGATAAACAGAATACGATCTTGATTTTGATGCAAAATTTCGCTGTCAAAATATTGTGAAATGAGGGGAAAAATGAAAGGATGTGTGAAGGTCCCTCCTTATTTCCAAACAAAAAGTGAAGATTTTAAAGAAGATAATGCACTACAATGTAGGTACATAACCATACATTTTTAGAAGTAACCACTTTGTAAATCTTTAAAGAAATAAATCATCAAATGTTTACCGAAGCGGGATTTTTTTTCCTCTCAAATCTACAGCTAAATGAATTTCAATTAGTTAAAACAATATCCCATTTTTATTCCAGCATAATATTTTAAAGGTCACCGGATTACCTATTACGAAATATTTTTCGGGCAGACTAAGCTTCTAGCATAAAAATCAAATTTGCATATCATATTTACCACATATTTACAGTGTCTTCTTATTTTTATAGCCTGCGTGTG